GGGGAGGAGGAGGGAGGGAGGGTTGGTTGAGTATGCGTGTGTTCTCTCATATCATCCTTATTCTAGTGTCATGTTTTATTTTCTTTTGTATTTGAAATTGTTTTTGTCTTTTGCATCAAGAAGTTCAGGATGTAAAGTGAAGTTTTTGTTCAGTTATTCTCTCCCCTGGTTTTGACAATGACAATGGGATAGTGGAATTGGGAGCTTTGTACTTTTTGATTAGTATGAAATACTCAGTGGTCCTATGTGCTCATGCACTTGGCCTATGTAACATTCTGTGACTACTGTTGAATCCTGCTGTAAGGATCATTTGTCCAGGACAATCACCTGGGTAAAAGACCACGTCCCACTTTCGCTCTTGTGGTTTTTAAAAAAATAATATTAAATATGACACTGTCAAGGAAGACCACGCACCTGTCTAAGATTATCACTTTTCTCCTCGACAATGGCTGGTCCTCTTGGTATATTAATATTCATAAGGGTGCCTATGAAGTGTGTGGGCATGCGGTTTCTTGCTCGGGAGTGTCGAAAAAAAATGAGAATATTCTTGTTCAGGGACTCCATTTTTGCGTTAGCATGTGCGTTTTGTTATGTGGAACTCACTCCTCCTTCTCTCTTCCACAGATCCTCTTATCATCGTTATTCCCATCGTTGTTTGTCTGCTACTGATCATAGTCATCGCCGTCATCGTTGTTTTTGTCCTCAGAAAGAGAAAGAGGTAAGTTCCTTTCTCTGTCATAGGCATCTGGTGTAATGGTCAGGCCTACGTTTTTCGCCATCTCATGCTTAAAATCATGAGTTCACTTCCCTCAATGGAATTAAATTTTATTGAATATTTCTGTCTTTCTGTAGACATGTTATATCTAAACTAGCCCCAGTAATCCCTGATAGACAAAGTCGAAGCAGCCGGCCTCTTAATTGACCTAAAGTGTATAAGGCTATAAAACATTTATAATAATTTATTACAATGTCCTCTGACCTTTACAGTTCTTTATTATCTTTGCTCCTGGCTCCTTCCTTTCTTTTTAAAGAGTTATTTCCCCCACTTTTCCCGATGTGGGGTTGTACCATGAGCACATGCAACATTCTTGTGTTTCATAGCCCTGTGTTCCCCCCTCCCCCCTCCAAATCATGTCAGTTTCGGTAAAATATGGGCAAGCAAGAAACAGCTTTGTGTATGGAGGAACTACATGTTAAACTCCCCATACTACCATGTCAGTAGAGGTCAAAGGTCAATCGACCACTCTCTCATGGCAGTAAATGTCACAGGAAGAGCTCCCTACATGTCATGAGAATAAGTTGCCAGCAGATAACCTTCGGCCATGTCATATGTGAGGCAGCGTGGTGAAGTCAGGCACTTGTCAAAATAATGAAGTTGAAGAAACTGGCATTTTTCCTACATTTTGGCCATTTTTATCGAAATTTTGTTTTTTGCCTCATCACCTTTTATGTCCGTTGAAGAACGCACTCATGTATGAGTTTTACTGAAAAACATGGATTAAAGGCTCAAAAATTTACATTTGCAGATCCCATGGTCTATCAAGCTATGGAAATAATCAAACTTTGGCGGCCATTTTATCGCTAATTTTACCACTGAAATCAGGCGACCCTCATCTCCTTCAGTCGCAAATATCTCATCTTAAAATTCAAAATAAATTGTTCTACTTTAATCGAAAGCAAAGCAAATGAACAAGTTTTAAGAATATACCAATAACTCCACATGCCCAAAAATTGACGAGCGCCTGATTCCACCGCGTTGTGAGACATATTAATTGAGGTCAGAGGTTAAACGCGGGCCATGTCATACCGATAGAGGTCAAAAGTTAACTTTCCACTCTGTCATATCAGTAAAAAGTCTGAGGTTAAACTTTCCAACTTGACATATCTATTGAGGTCTGAGGTTAACTTTCCACCCTGTCATATCGCCGGTCGCCTGATAAAACATTGAATTCCACAAATTTTCGAAAATCGTTTTTTTGCATATTTTGATAGTGCTCAGTGAGATACATGTCCCTGTAAAACAGTTGTTCAATTATCACAACGCAAACGCATAATCTGACGTAATAAGAAAATCGTGAATAAGCACCGTGCCCCCAAAGTCGCCTGATGAAACCGTGAATCCCACACCTGTGTGGAATTCACGATCTCATCAGTCGGTTTATGGCTCGCGGGGCTGATGGTTGGCACCGTGAACGCCTCTCTGGACCATTGAAATATGGGCGATTGTGTTGTCCAAACACAATGGTCGGTCAGTATTCACCGTTTCCAGGCCAAAGATAATAATTTATGACGTCGACTGCATGTATTTTGCGGGAAAACCTCTGTTACATAATTAAAAATGTGTGTTTCCTAGATGCAAGACTGGTATTGTTTCACAACGACTGTCAAATTCGATTGTGTAATGTGTGTGCTCTTCTAGTAGTGGGTAAAACAATTTTTTAACTTGCTCGTTTGCAAAATTATTTTTTATAAATAACGTAGTCAAGTATAAATTACAAGTATATTTCAGTGTTGAATAACAACCCAAACTTATTTTACATTGAAAGCTCACTGATTTGACAACTGAGTTTCCTAACGAGATAAGGAATTTTGAGAAGACGAGCAATGTGAACCACTTTGGGCATCAAAGAAAGCTACAAAAAAATACAGTACGGTAATAGTAGAAGAACCAGACTTCAATGAAAAAAAGTGTAATTCAAAGTACATGATGCGTTGGAACAGATCAAAGGTGCTTTTTTAACATCCGAGAGAGAGAGAGAGAGAGAGAGAGAGAGAGAGAGAGAGAGAGAGAGAGAGAGAGAGAGGGAGAGGGAGAGGGACAGACAGACAGAGAGGGGGACAGACAGACAGAGAGAGAGAGGGACAGACAAACAGAGAGAGGGACAGACAGACAGAGAGAGAGAGTGAAAGTCCAAAGACTAAGAAAACTCAACAAACAGTTCCCCGCCACTGTATCATTCTCCTTATAAATGGCAAAGAGTAATTTTCAGGATCGGAGAGACAAAAAGAGTATGAAAGATGATCATTCAGTCATTCGCGGGGTATAAAAGTTTAACATAAACCAAGTTCTCAACCCATCCACCACCAGCCCCCCCCCCCCCCCCCCCGCTGTCCAAGCCCAATAAAAAAAGGACATACACTTACACGCAATGGGAGAAAGAAGAATAGAAAAAGAGAAAGCACGCAAATGAAGGAGTATGATTTCATAAATTACATACAATATCCCATTCATGTAAGAAAGAGAGATGTTTATAGTGTTTAAATAATGAATAGCTTTCTGTTTCACTTAGTGTGTAATGTCACACTCAGTTTTAAATTGAACTTTCAAAATCTTTCTTATAACAGTATTTCGTGCTTTCATATATTTTTTTAAATGTCAGGGCCTCTAATAAGAGAAAACACACTGCCTCATAACCGTGAATACAACACCGCGTTCCCAAAAGCCTACTAATGAAATCGTGAATTCCACACGAATTCACGACCGCATCAGGCGAGATTCGAATATGAAAATCGTGAATCCCACACCTTTTCGAAAAAATGACCATCTACGGTAAAAAATGTACTATAGTATTATTTCTGAAAGGTAATTGATCAGATTTATCCATTTAGTTTATTTCTTGAACGCCAAATGACGGAGAAAATCAGTTTTTTCCCTCTCCTGTAAAATTTGCTTTGCGTGGAATTCACGATTTCATCAGGCGACAGACGATATCTGTAAAGGTTGGCGGTTGACTTTCCACCCTGTCATATCTATAGAAGTTAGAGGATAACTTTCTATCCTGTCATATCTGTACAGGTCGAAGGTTAACTTTCCACCCTGTCATATCTGTTCAGGTTGAAGGTTAGCTTTCCACCCTGTCATATCTGTACAGGTCGAAGGTAAACTTTCCACCCTGTCATATCTGTACAGGTCGAAGGTAAACTTTTCACTCTGTCATATCTGTACAGGTCGGAGGTTAACTTTTCACCCTGTCAGATCTGTAAAGGTCGGAGGTAACCTGTCATGTCACAGGCTTGCCAATTGACCTGAATTTCACTTTATGTTCTGAATTCGGCAGTTGGGAATTTGAGAGCCCTATCCACACACACTACATCAAAATTAGCCCCCTACTTGATGTCATGTTAATTTTTAAAATTTTTTAATGTAATCTGATGTTTTAACTTTAGAAAAAGTAGGCATGTTAGAAATGTCATATCTGTAGATATGACATGTTAACCTTCTCCTGGTATGTATATGTATGTGTGTGTGTGTGTTTCCCTCCATAGGAGGACCTCCCAGTATGGCCACAAACGTATGGACGACAGGGGAGGCAACATGAACGTCACCAACCCCGTCTACATGAAGAGAGACGGTGAAGACGATGATGAGGATGAGGAAGATCCCTTGGCTTCAGGGCTCATCTTTACTGGAGACGCGGTGAGTGGATGCTGACAACATGTTGCAGACATTTTATTTTTTTAATGGTATTTGTTAGCTTAGAATTATGAAGTTCCATTTTGACCTTTTTGGCTGTTTTGAGTTACTAAGACCATAAAGGTCTGAAACCAAATGTCCTATCTGCTTTATCGAAATTGTAAGATTATTCGGAGTCATTATCAAGATATTCAAAAAATTGCATTAAAAAATGCTCGGCATGTTGAGAAACTCAGAACTTTTTATGTCAAATTTCTCAAAACTAGGTACTGAGCAGATAGAACTTTGTAGTCCAAGGGTAGCAAATTGATAATAATATATTTTTTTAAATGAGGCTTTTGTATTGTTTGGCAGCTTTATAGGTCAGATAAAATGAGTTCCCTTTCTTGTGACTTTTCAGATCATAAGTTCTATTCTATTCTTGTATTGTTCTATGTGTCAACTCTCATGGCTTTATTTGTTTCCAATATTTCTTCACAGACTACAAACTTTGCCAATCCAATGTACGATGTCTACAGCAGTGACAGCACGCAAAAGTTGCTGCGAGAAGAGAACCACAACTTTGACGACTTATCTGTGCAGTACATGGGCACGGATCTTCCAGGAGATGTGCCAGAGACGCGTTCCTCTGTGGCGTAGCGACACGTGCGGACAACGCATGACGGAAGCTCATGGGTGTACAGTGTGCTGTGTGACTGAGCATGGATGTGGGTGTGCTTGAGATGTGTGAGGCAAAAGGAACTGATGATGATAAGACAGTGTGTGTGTGTCTTTTTGTGTGTGTGTGTGAATGTGCGTGTGCGTGTGCATGATAGCTGTGTAAGTGAGATATTTCCAGGTGTGTTGTATATTTGCTAAAGCAATGATGCATATATAATTATCTTGTACATTAGGCACTGAGGACTGAGATGAGCCCTCAAAGGCTTTTGGCATTCCAGAGAAGAGGGGAAGACATTGACTGGAGCAATACCTGTTTATGGGAAGAGGAGGGGAGGGAGGGGAAGAAATATGAACAGAAGCTGTGGTGACTTGTCAGTTTATACCCCCTGACCAGTGGCTGATTCAGGCCCCTGGACGTTGTGTCATGATGATGTATGTGTTTGATGTTATGTGACCTTTTTTAATTGTGTGTTCAGGACAGACAAGAGCTGTCCGTGTGAGGGACTGATTTTTACATCACTTTTTAGAATGTAAATGCTGCAGTGATTGAAATGTTGCCATGTGATTGAACTGTGAGAAATGTTGGTGGGATTTTGTCATGTTTTCTTGGCTCCAGAGCGTTTTTGATATGCTGAGAGAAATTGTTTTAGAATTTTATTCAACCTTAAAATATTGGCAAAAATATAGCAGAGAAGAGATTAATCAGGTCAGTTGGTTCTTGAAGGGTAAATTAAACTGTAAAAGCTGGAGATGTACATACTGATAATCATTGTTCAAGCGGCTCTGAAAATATTAAATTTAGATGCTAGTTGTTTTCCGGCACAAACAATCAGTGAATATTGGTTATTGAGAGTGGTGTTGTTATTCCATTGTATCTTACAGCAGTCTGCTGGGTGTTCCCATGCTTCCAGCTTTTCCCCACATGCAGCCTCAAGTTTACCCAAAGAATTGTTTGTTTCCCAACCTCCAGTCCTTCTTTCATGGAACGGACATGACCACTGGACTGTAAGTGCAATGACAGAACGCTCCTCGTTAGTAAGCATTACACCGTTTGTGACTGCTCTCAGTTAGTTTGTCCATAGAGTGGAAGAAAGTGGTGGTGGAATGATTCCTTCAATGACCTTCATTTGTACGCAAGTGTTTGATTGGGATTTGTAATACAGGGGATAGGGGATATTTATTGTGGGTTAAAGCAAAAAGACAAGCGCTAAAATTGTGGTAATGACCTTTGCTTGTTGAGAAAGTGTCACTAATGCTTGTCCTGTTGGTCTGCCACACAAATACCATGCCCCCCTCCACCCCACCATACACACACACCCTTGCCCTGCTATACTTTCTACAATGACCCTCACCACTTTGCCTCCCCAAATTCTTTTGCTTTGTGTTCGTTGTTGACATATGAGCAACTTCCATCTTGTAAGTGTAAATGATAAACAAACTTGCTGTTCCATGGAATCTGTTTACTTGTCCATGTTTGTTTGCTATTTTATTTGAAGTAGCTTATCATTTGATTGCATTGAACTATTATTTCTAGTGATACATTTGGAAGTGTTTTTTAGATTACATTTTGCATAGCTGTTGTAAAGGGAATCACATAGGTTCTTTATTGACTTAGCCTCTGTTACCTCAGCTTTTGCTGTGTACATTCCAGTTTCTGGGGACAGATGGGACTCAAACGTGAAGGGTTTGTTAATGAAATCATGTCTGTGCTGTATATCCTCAAGTGGTCAAATTCTGGTACTGTCCCAGCCCCCTCCACCATCCCTCTCCCCCTCCCCCTCACTGTGATTCCCTGTGGCCAAGGTATGGTGGCAGCTGTGATGTGCTGTGTATTGTCTGCTGTTTTCTCAGAGCTTCCAGTACAGTCTTGAGTGCACACTTCCTTCTGGTTGTCTTATTTGCACAACAACAACAACAACAACAGTTTCAAAATGTCAGCATTGCCCAATACCCTGTTTGTTTGACTGCAATCGACTACTTTAGCCCGACAGAGGAGTTTCATTTCAAAATGTCTGCCTGCGCAAGTAGTTGTGTGTCCATCAACAATCAACATTTCTTTTGTAGATGATTTGGTTTTAAAATGTTTGCAGCTGCTATCAATATTTACCTACAACAAAAGTGATAAGGTTTTAAAACGTTTACAACGACTGTCCATATTTGCTAAATAGATGTCGGTGGCTTTCAAAATATGCTTAAAAGTTTGGGTTGTAGTCTGGAGTAACGAGCGCTGGCCAGTGTGTCAACTGTTAGGCGGAAGAGTGGGCTCGTCTGCTGTATGCCCGAACAAATGCAGGGAAGTGAAATGTATAGAAGAAACTGTATACAAAGGTGTTTAGAACACTGAAACTCTTGTCTTTGCATTTGCGTGGTATCTTGTGTTTTTAAGGGTCAATTGTTTTAATAAGAGGTTTTTGTTTTCTCTTGAGTTCCCTCCTTGCTTGGACATTGACAGGAGTCTTCCTGTTTTGCCATTTGACAGTCGTCATACTTACTCTGGTCTTAACATGATTCTTATTGCTCTCCGTGACTATTTTTAAAAAATCACATAGAAACTGAGAAGAATTGCGTATTAGCGTTAATTTTCTTCCCTAGAGTTTTCTTCGCTGGTTCTGAGATTAGCATTTTCAAAAAGTTGTCTATGTTGAGTTGACTGGACTAAAGTTTTAGCTATATTCACCACAGACTTCCATCTCTCGACAAGTGTACTTTGGTTTTGCTTTTGGTTCTAATTCTTAAGAAAGAAGTATACACTTTTTTATGTGTACACTTTGAATGCTATCTCATTTTATACAGAAATCACTTGTAGTAACCGCAAGATTTGTTTAGTTGGGGTTCTTTTAGGGGAAGGGGGTGGGGGGTGTCTATTGTGACTTCATGGTCTATTGACCGCCAGAGTTGGAAGAACCTGTAGTGCTGCTGAAAGTCCCAGGTGCTGGCACAGAGACCCTTGACTATGTTAGGTAGGGCGGTACAATCTGTGTGGCCATAAACTCCGCTTATGCGCCCTGTTGGCGGTATGTGCTTCAAGGTGGACAGCATGAATGAAAAAAAGACTAGTAGTATTATAGTATAGCGTGTTAACTTTTACTGCACAGAAATTAAAAGGCTTGATGGATTGCTGTGAGGGTGTGTGTATAGATTTGTGTATTTCCTGTGTTTGCAAAAGTAAGACGGCGTGAGTGTAAGTGTGTGTGTGTCTGTGTCTGTGAGTTTGTAAAAATAAGGCAGTGTAGACTGGCTTGTCCTGCCTTTTTAGGGCATGGTTTTGATTCTGAGGATCAAGCATCCCATATTCAATGTGATTTTTAGCCATATACTTTTATAAGAGGTATATATTGTTCTTAGCTGTGTTTTCTGTAATGTATCTATTTTAATTTGTTATATCGTATATATATATATACAATGATTTCTATATTTCCCAAAGATTTCCCAATTAACTTAACATATCATATTTTGTGTAACGTCTAGATTTGTTGTCAAAGTAATGAGCTCGCTGCTGTTGTGTAACATAGTGAGTCCTGCACGTACAGATGTGAGGTGAGTCAGTTGCCGCCTTTGTCTGTGTCAGCTGGCCTCGTGTTCTCGTGGTGTCACCACCTTATCGTCGTCAAGCTGTTAAAAATGTACTGAGACCAAGTAGCAAAATATTTCAGGAAAGAGAAAAAAACTGTTTCATTCTTTTAGCAAATTGTACCTCTACATTATGTATTTTCTCTTGCTTTTTAAAAAAAATTAAGAATTTGATTTTGGACAGAGTATTCGGCTGTGGCTGGAAATTCCGGCATGAGAAACTTGCGTCGATCTCCTGAAGCACGGGTTTCTTCAGTTTACCTAACAACTGTCTAAAAAAAGTCTGACTTTTTAACTCCGCTGCTCGAGTTCAAACATAAATCGACAGTACGTGGGTGTTTCAATTATCTTTTCAGGCAAATTCCCTTGAGATGCTATGAGTTTGAAAGTTTTCAGGCAAAATGGTTGTGACCAACTTTTACCCATGAGAATATCTTGAGCACATGCAACCTATACTGCAGCTTTTAATACTGTACTGTAAAAGCTGCAATTTAAAAAGTGGTTAAAATTTGGGGCCAAGTACATCTGAACAGCTGATGGATGATATGATGACGTTGTCAGTGCCAGTGTCAAAGAATGTTGACATGACTTCTGGTGAGGTGACATTGGCTAGTGACGTCAGTACTTGGTGGGCCAGGGCTGTGTAGAGCAATGTCTTTTGTGTTACGGTTTTGAGACTAGTGGGCGGGTTGTAACCAGTACAGAAACACTCACGGCAACAACAAAGGGGGGGAATAGGGGAAGGGGAACGGGAATAAAGAATGGGCATATCAGATGATGATGACAATTTTGGATAAATGCAGTAATCCAGTGAGGTGATCAGCCCTGACTCTTCTTCAAGCTGTGTGCTACGACCGGAACATCGCAATGGGGGCATGGGCAGATGACACAATATCCCATGCATATATACCCTCACCCTCACGTCGACATGTTCCCAATGGGGACGTGTGTAGATGACAACATTATCTCATATACATGTCCTCATCTGTCTGTGTGGGTCAGTTCTGTATTATCATGGACATGTGCATGTATTATAAGTGTGTGCTGGTTTGTATGTGTGCGAGTAGTAACTGCAGTCTTCTTACTCTATATAACATTCCGTTGCTTCCTGGTTCCACACAGATTTTTCCATTAATTTATTCCTGGAATTTCCACCTATCTGAAGGCTGTGCCTGCAGCGCCGTACTCCGAAGTTTTAATGTAATGAGGACTCCGCAGTAATGACACATCATGGCAGTCTATGCTGGCTTCCCATTTCCCGTTATCAAACTTTTGTTTGTGGCAGGCAAGAAGGGGGGGGGGAGTGTATGAGCTGGAGAGATGTGGTGTAGATTAGGGGGAAGTGGTGAGGGAGAGATGATAGAGGCACAGCTTGAGGATGGATTAATTTTCCTCCTGCAAATTTTCTCCCTCTATCCAGGCTTCTTGATACATGTCTTGGATGTGATGGGAGAAAATTTCTGTCATAGCTTGTTCACTTTTGTCTGACTGATCAAAAAAATTTCAGCTCATTTGTTAATTTACAATTGTGCACGTAACTTTTAATGGCACTCCCGTAGACCAGGAACCAAACAAAAACATTTTTTGAAAAATCTTTATCCAGTAATAAAAAAAAAGTATATTTAATTGGGTGCATACACAGGATCACCACAATAAATAGTTAACATTAACCTTGCCTTCAAATTACTTATTTTGAGATGGCGACACTAGCCTGTCCCCATATTTCAGTGTGAGCTTGTAGATTTCCTCCCAAGACTGTCTAGACGTCTCCACGTGAGTCTCACAGCATACACACCTGACTATTGGAATGTGTTTCATTGGCGTGCGCTAAAGTGTGGTGTTGATGAAAATAGGTCGTCTGAACCTTATTTTGCAGTGGCCTTCAGTACTTGGCTTCTAGATTCCGTTGATCATCCAACATTTAGACCCACATGTAAAGGCCTGAAGAGATTAAACTGAGCAGTTTATTTTGATCTTGTTTTAACTGCGAACAGATAAAAAAAAAGTGAACAAACTGTAGATGGCTATGCTTCATAGTCTCAGATTAATTTATCTAACAATGAATATGGTTGTTCTGATATAAAAAGAAAAGTTGTTGCTTGGTCAGTGAAAATCTTGTGTGCTTACTGGATTGTTAGACAGATTACTGTGACAGGCTTATCTTGGTCAGTAGAACCCCAACCCCCCCTCCACCCCCTCCACCCTTAGTAGAGCTTGTCCTCCCTCAGTTGATGATGTTGCCAGGGGCTTGCCTCATTAGTTGTATCCTGAAATAGTTCTAAGTATGTTTTGCCTCTTTCAAACATATTCTGTGTTATGATTTTTATAATGTCGGAGTGTGCGAGTGTTGTCCATATACGGAACTGTCAGCTTTGTTCTGTTAATCCCTTGATATCCCTAGAATCTATGGGTGTAGGTGTGTGTGTGTGTGTGTGAGTGTGAGTGTGTGTGTGTTTGTTGTGTCTTCCAGATGTGTTCTGCTGTGTACACTTCGACTGTTTGGGTCCGGTTTGACCTCTGATGATGTATGTCGAAAGAAGAGCTACTGGAGACTCTATCTTTTATGAAAACCTGAAATCCATGAAAGGTCCAGCATATGTGCTGGTCTTTATCACTAAAGGGACTCAGGTGGGTAGTTGGAGGGCACCAGTGGTCAGTCCTACTTCTTCTGTATTCCTGTTTTGTTTCTGTATATCTACTTTGCTTTCCCCCCCAACATTAAATGACCACTCTTGTTTGTATTGATGTGTTTTTCTTAATTCAAACTCAGATTCAGGAATTCATGTCAGGGAGACACTTTATCTTGCCATGGTGACAACTCTTTCGTAAAATCTGTTTGAGTTCTTTGTTGAGATAAGGTTTGGGGGAAAGGAGGGAGGGTTTTTTTTGGGGGGGGTGGGGAGGGGGCACACATGTGGGTCACTTGGTTCATAGCCATTGGTCTACTGTTCTTTATCTTTGTTTCCGTTGCCTGTTGAGTTGTTTTTAATGTGTTTGTGTCTATCCCTCTCAAAGTTCAGTAATGTGTATACTGAAGTTCTACGTATGTTACTATTCTTTGCCTATTGCCATTCTACAGATCTGTGAAGGAAGATGAATAAATTGTTACTTGTATTTCTTGAAGATGCAAGAGTATCGTAGCAATAATATTTCCAAGAATGGAATTGCCGGCTTGTTTTAGGGGTGGCCTCTTTTTTTACCGCTGAAGGTTTTGTAAGGCTTAGAGATGTTTGTTTTCTCCATCACTGTCATGTACAAAATGTGCGGTACGTGCACGGAACTTGCATAGTCCTTGCTTATTCCCCGCATAGTCCTTGCATCATCCTCGCATAGTCCTTGCATCATCCTCGCATAGTCCTTGGATCGTACTTGCTTCAGGTTGGTTTCCTTGTTGTCTCTCTCAACACACTGATATCAAAGGCATTATACCTCTGTGATTTCTACAAGAAACGATACATTTCCAGTTGACCTAGAGCAACGACGCTTTGATATGTGATGTCCTGTATAAACAAATAAACAACGCTCCCTCACCGTCTTGACTGCTTTATATATATATGTGTGTGTGTGTGTGTGTCACGACGCGGTGGAATCAGGCGCTCATCAATTTTTAGACATGTTGAATTATGGGTACCATTTTAAAGCCTTTTCATTTGTCTTGCTTTCGGTTAAAAAATACCCATATATTATGAATAGAAGTCGAGATATTTACCACTGAAGGACGTGGGGGTCCATTGGCTTCCGAGGTAAAAAAAGTGAGAAAATTGCCATCGAAGTTTGCAACTTCCAAAGCTTGAGAGTCCTTTGAAAATGCAAATTTACATTTTTTTTGCCTTAAATCAACATTCTTCAGTAAAATCCACACGAAAATGTGTTTTTAAATGGACTTTAAAGGTGTTGAGTCAAACTAACAAAATTCGATAAAAATTGTCAAACGAACAGAAAAATGCCTGTTTCTTCGATTGCATTATTTTTACAAGCGCCTGATTTCACCTCGATGCCTGACATATGTAATACACACATGTATAAAGAGTCAGTTGTGTTACATGTGATGACAGCTTAGCCAGGTCACTGTTCACCAGTGCACACATCAGATGCTTGTCCCATTTAGGGGACAGGACAAGAGTTTGTGGTCCGTTTCAAGACGAGAGCGTAAAGTTTTTGTTGTCACTGCTGTTGTTTTGTTGTTTTTTTTCTGGCTTTTTGAAATGTTTTGGCTTCAAAATAATAGTGGCATAATTTGCCTGGATCTGATTTGCACACTCTTTTTTATGCTGTACAATAATATTATATTACTTGTGAAAATTTAGTACAATCTTGATGTATGTAGATGCATAAGTATTTATATATATAATATATCATTTGCATACAACATAGCAGATACATGTATAAGTAAAATGGATTTGAATTGTCAACAAATTATTCTAAACATATTACATATATTTAATATTGTTTTCATCAAATGAATGAAATGCCCAGCTTCCTTTAGAGTCCAGATATGTTTGTGTGAATGACTCACTTTGTTTGTGCAATGGTAGATCTGTTTGTTTGTAGATCCATGGTGAAAGACACCGACTGTCTTAGGTGTTGCTCATTCTGAAGGCTGTGGAAAACTTTGATGATGGTGATGTAGACACCACAAGGTCAGCCATTTCCCATGGTAGAAAATGCACGGACAATTGTCTATAGTGTTGTTTTTTCACTGTTCAACTCTTCTGTAGTTCTGTCATTTCTTGGAACAAGAGTGTCATTGGAGAGTGGTGGTAACCTCGGGGGAGAGAAGAAGTTCTCTTCGTTAGGTGTTCTGTTGTGGTTCCTCTCGGATTACTGTTTTGTCTGGTCACTGTGGTGTTGACTTAGAAATCTGTTGAGGATCTGAGCTCAAACTGTAACATGTTGTTCCAGAAAGATGTTTCTTTTAGACTGTGTTATCTTTGGTGTCGGCTCTTGAGAAGTGCAGCACCCTCTGCTTGATGAAAGTAGTCAAGAGAGTTTTGTTCTCAGATTGATGTTTTCAAGGTTGTGAGTTCATTCCCTTATTTAATCTATTACTGGTTTTTATCTATCCCTGTTTAGTCGGTTCACTGTCTGCATGTTTCTTTTGTCAGTGAATTATTTACAGTGTGTGTATTTTTGTAGCATGTGTGTAGATTCTGACAAGTATATCTTGGGTTTCCCACTGTGTTTAACCAGCTGTGGCCTCCCTCTCTCTCGCTTGGACTGTCCTTCTGTCTGCAGTCTTTCCATTCATGAAACTCTTGCAGTTTTAATTTCTTACTCAGAGAAATCGGTTGTAGCTTACACTTTCTTCCTTTCAGTCAGGTACACTTTTTCTTTCTCTGCCTGAGATATTCCAGTCTAGCCCACTCTTTGAGTTGAAGCTGCTTGCACTATGAAATGTTTTCTTTTTTTGGATATGTACGTGAATGTTTTGGCTAGAGAGTGTTGGATGAAGGGTCTACTGACTGTTCTCAGACTCTGGGTCGACTGTTTGTTCTCATTATCACATGCACATCGTATTGAAATATTGTTGTCTTCTCATATTGAAAATGTTAAGCAGAGCTTGGAATCAGATATTGGTCAACAATATTGCTGGCCAGTGTTACATCATGTGTCTTATGACTTTGTCTTCCGATCTTCCTGTCACATGTATGTACAGCGACCAGTTTGTGGACATCTCACACCTACACTCACACGGGGGCCCACACCAGCTCACAAACACACACACACACATACACACACACACGCGCACACACACACACACACACACACACACACACACACACACACATGCAGCAACACAACAAAATGAGTGAAAAATCACTTTTTGATAATATATATCACAATCTTTAGGTAAATTAAAGATGGCTTCAAATCCTACATGTGGGTGAAAACGGTACCTGCCTAGCTGGTTTGGTTTCGAAGTTATGGTCCTTGAAGTTGGGGAGACAGAAACGGATTTTTAGAAAATCAAAGGTTTTAAGTTATAGTCCTTGAAGTTATGGAGTCAGAAACAGAATATTAGAAAATCACGGGTTTGTCAACCATCTCAAAACAGCTGAGGTGTGTGGCAAAGACTCATGTTGTGGTATTGCTTCACCTGCATGAACTGGAACCTGCACTTGACTCATACATCTCGCTCACCAACATGTACATAGATGCCAAAGTCAGAGGCGATCTGCCAACACAGACACTGTCCGTGTGGACCATTCCTCTCACTTGCAATTCACGTATCTCTTTTGTAATTTTTCCAACCCAGTTCCATTATGTGCCAGCGTTGTTTACATGCCAAGTGTTTTGTGTCTCTCAGTCTGTCCATTTTTCTTTGTTAATGTGAACAGGGAAATGTATGTGTTGATTATGATGAATGATTTTGTTATTTCTGTGTTTGAAATTGAGTGAGATAGGAGGTGCTGTCAATGGTTGGGGTAGAGTCTGCAAAGTCAGTCAGTCAGTTTAATGCGGTTTACCAACAGGAAAAAGCTTGTAAAAAGGATTTTATTTTTGTTTTACAACTTTATAAAAGACATAGTGTTTTTATACCACAATGTGGCAAAATAATCTGCTTCGTTATAAGTCCTCCTTTGTCTCCAGGGTGTGCTGATAATGGTAACTACCATTAGCAGAAATGTTTCCTTGTTATCTGAGCAGTGGATTACATTTTTCTCATGGCTGTTAATTTGGGTAACTTTAATAGACATTTTAGGGAAGATTCTATCAAACATCACCAGATGCCTTTGTAAAAAGTTTTATTTTCCTAATCTTGTCTCGGAATCAGGCTCTCTCACACATAAAGCATAAGGTCTGCAAGTTTGTTAGTGTGAGAAATGCTGAACTATCCCACACACAAGTTTCTGACTGCTAAGATATTTACCAATTTGAAAAAATTCCAAAACCACACGGGGCTAGTTGTTGTCTCTGATGTAGCCTGACCAAGCAGACTCCAACCACCCCAAGTGAAATGTTTGGTGACAAGTTTCCAATAACAGCCAGCCTCATTCCTCGTCTTTGGATGCGTTTTCCTCGCACATGCGAATCCAGGACCATTTTAACTAAATTAAAAGAAAAAAGAATTGTGATACAGAGGAATTGCATTTATATATTTTTTTAAAGAGCATTGGTTTTCTTTTCTTGAATTGACATTTTGTGATCGATTGCTATGAGGTTTTGGAGTAGCTGATCATACTTTTTTCTTGTGGTTGTTGTTATTGTTGTTGTTGTTGTTGTTGTTGTTGTTGTTGTTGTTGTTGTTGTTTTCATGAGTAGTTAATCATTATTAAATCTGTTGTTCCTGTTGATTGGTTTGTTGTCATTGGGTTTTGTTTTTTTCCTGAGTCCAGGGAAATAGTCAGAAGCAGTTGTCTGTAACGCTCTGCTCTTCTGCAGTTTGATGAAACAAAATGAAATTTAATATCAAACATTGCATTCTCTCTTTTGTGAAATAAAAATGTTTTATTACAGATATCAGAGTTTTTGTTGCTTTCCTAATCCTATCCTTAGTCTTTAGGCCATTCCCAAAGGGGGGATATTATTATGTTCTTATGCACAGTAGAATTGTAAATGGGCTGATTTATCAATGTCATACTCATACTGTGCTGGAACAACATAGGGGGAACTGCTGCTTTTTCTTTCCGCGTCCTTGCTATCGTCATTTTTACCTCTACGTTTTTTGTATGTTTGTCCCTCTCTTTTGAACTGCTGTTTCCGGAATGCCTTGATAGTCGAAGCAGACTTTATATTGTACTATTGAGGCTATAGAGAGGTGAGCTGAGTAAGCCTGATTCCCCGTTTGGACTTCTCTGTTAACATCCACGCTCTTGGCGCTCATATGACCTTAATTAGGCCTATATGCAGTTGCGAGTGCCGTAAAACCTTACTAAAACCAAGCAACCTAATCCTTATGACATACAATGTTTTTTGTCGCCCTCGTTGTTGTGATCCTTGTTCCTGATGTTACTGTTGTCTTGTGCGAGTGGATGAAAGATATCACTAGTCTAGTAGATATCCTACTTATAATATTTTCCTTTCTGCTCTAGTTTCTGAAATTGACGGAAAATTTTGTCCTCTAAAATGTTCTCCTTTCACCTCCTTTCCTGCTCCATAACCATGTTCTGTCGTCTGCTTTTGTCTCCATCTTCTGTCCTCACCCTCTTTCCTCCTTTGCCCCTTCTTCTGGGCTTCTGACTCTTTATGCAACCTTTCTACAGTTACTCCTTGGCTCCTTACTGCTGTCATTCAGCCACACCCCTGATTTTATGGTAGGTAAGATTTAACACCTATATC